AAAACCTGCCTGGAGGGCTCGCTCTGAGTCGATAGCTGCCTTGCCGGCACAACAGCGGCAACAATGTGCTTTCCTCATGGGATGTTGGTATTGCAGGCTTGTCCGTCGCTCGGCTGAATGGTGGTCTCTGGTAGCAGCTTCAGTGCCAGGTTGGCAGAGTTTCTAAGAGCCGTAGCGTGGACAGTTCTGTGTCATTTTGCTATCACTTCTCGATACCCAGCGCCCAGAAGTGTCTTTGATGCGTGAGAGGGTGTTCTTCCATTCACGGAGAGAATGAACGAAAAGAGCTTGCATTTGCTCCCCGGGGCAGTGGGTACCACGGACAGTTCTCGATCTTTTTTTGAAAATCCCTCTAGAGTTGGAATGGAGGGAGGGAGATGAGGAAGAAGGAGGAGGCTTGAGGTGAAACACAGATTTGGGGGCGCGGGGGTGGTGGTGAGTGTGGATCAGTTGGCGTGACAGGTGCTGAGGCCGGACTGGCCCGCCCATAGCCTGTGGTTCTCCCTCTCAGGTTCCTTGAGAAGATGGTGATTCTCACAAGCCACCCCGTCCCCCCCATCTTCTGTGTCCTGCTGGGCAGTCTCTGTCCGTTTATTCTGATAGTCCTGGTCCTGCTGGCCTTGATTTACATGGAACTGCAGAAGTTCACGTACACGGCCTGGGACTCGAGCACTGTGAGTCTCCATCCTTGAGCGTCAGGAACCCCCCGGGAGAGGGAGGACCACACCCCTCAATCCACTCTTGGCCTCACCACCTGGTCATCTCATTCTCCCTCTCACCGCAGACTTGTGAACCATCTGTCCTGCCCTCCCCCCCATCTTTCTTTGTTCTTCCTCTTCGTCCAGTGACGTCCCCGTTCTTTCTTCTCTCGCCACAGTCCAGGGAAGTGCTCCGGGAATACCCATCGTGGGTGATCAACGCGATGATCTCCTTAATCGTCATTATCTTCCTGCCCAACGTTATCAACTGTGTCCACGGCTTTGGCTCTCGGTCGTCCAGCACCTTTATCAAGCCTATCGTAGTCTCCACGTCCCTCACCCAAAGGGACCAGGAAAGGCCCAATGAAGTTACGAAGGAAACCGTGAAAAGGTGCTGAAAGAAATTGCTGAGCAACCTGTCATGTGACTTCCTAACAGCGCTGACTCACTCATTTGGCTTCAAGGCATATTATCACTCAAAACCTATCCAACTGGCAGTTCTTTATATCCGTTTGTAACAGTTGATAACCCTGGACTCAATATCCTTTACCCAAGGGCATTTTTTTGGGGGGAATTCATGAAGTTTGGCTTTACAGCTCTTCCTCTTCACTCTCCCTGGACACCATGGTGATTTTATCCTCACCATATCTATATACACAGCTTAGAAATACCTCTGAGGACTCCCAGACGTTCTCCTTCTGGTCTGTCCAGCTCCTGAAACGGAACCAAAGGTGTCACACTGTTGATCGATAAACGGATCTGTTGGAACAGCATGAGCTGGGAGTATGAAGACCTTTATTTCACAGGAGTCTAAAGTCTTAATCTTTCTCTCACGAGGTTTCTATTGTTTTGAAAGCTTCATGCCCCCTTCTGATTTTCTGAGTATCTCCGCTTCGTCGTATTCCAAAGCTTGAGATCTTCATTTCCCCTGTCGAGGGCCTGACCTTCACCACCTTGGAGACGTCTTACCCAGGAAATTGTGGCAACATCAAAGATGGGAAAAATATACACGCGCTTGCTAGTGGGACATTGCAATGATGCCAGGAAGCTGAACATGATTTTTTTTAATAGAGATATGGTTTTGTATATCTGTGAACCCATGCCCAAATAGTTTGGAGAAGTACCAACCTTTATTTCTGAACTGATTACGGGTCTTGTCTACTCGGTAAGAACCGCCAGAAGTTTTACCATAGAGCGAAATAAAAGTAATTTTCCTAATAAATGATAATTGAGTGGCGCTCCTGGAATTTGTTGGAGGGGGGTGCCTCTGTCATGGTGTGGAAATATTTCTCCATTGGAACTGGGGCCAGCCAGTTACCCACCGGGGCTGAGAGTTGTGGGTAGAGGTTTTCGGGGGCTTTTAAGTTTCCAGTGGATGAAATGTGATTAAATGCTCAGAGATGACAGGATCTTATATTACCCGGAAAAGGACATGATGTTTGGGAGGGTCAGTGAACAAGGGGAAGACCTTCAGTGACGTGGATTGACATAGTGACTGAAACAACGGGTTCAAGTGTAACAGAGATGATGAGAATGACACAGGATAGCGTTCAAGGTCCATTGTTTATAGGGTTGTTGTGAGATATACCCAGTGGGTGTAGCCATGTACTGGCTGGAATGTGGAGACACAGAACTGCTGAGGGGAAAACAGAGACAGAGAAAGAGAAACAAAGTGAGACACTGGGCACCGAAGTAAAAACCAAGGCAAAACCCAAGGCCCTGTTGTTTATTTTTCTCAGTATATACAGAAAAGAAAACATTCTATTATTATCAACTTTCTCACTACCCAGCAAGCAGTTATCTCTTTAAAAAAACCCACCCTGCTTTCAATATAGCTGGAGCACCATAATAACTTGTCCAGAAAATCCTAACAAACACACAAGAAATTTATCTCTATTTTCTGCAAATTCTCAAGGACAGCAGCTCCGCGTCAGTCTGTATTTCCGACAAGCTCTCAAGGACTTTAGTTTCTTGTTAACTAAGCCTTCACAGCTGCTCTTCTGGGTCTTACGAGGTCACAGCTGCCCTTCTGGGTCTCATGAGATCTCATAAATGCACCCCGTTTTTCTGGGGGACACATCGCATGCTTGTCTAGTAAGCTGTTTTCAGCTAGTTTCCCCGCTGAGTGTTCCCTGTGGTACATCGAAACTCACAAGCAGACAGTCCAACCAAAATTATAACGGCCTTCAGAGACTTCTCACAGATGGGACAAAACAGTAACATATTACCTGGGACCCATAGGAAGGTGAGAGAACACAACCCTATTTATCTTTGCGTAGAACACAAGGCTTGGGCCCTAAGTGTCTTTCTGAAATCTTAAACTCTTCAAGCTTGAAGAAGACGCAGGCTGAAAGGGTCCTTGACCTCCCATGTCCATCAGTTCTTGTACTTTCTCACTTTCTCGGGAGATGTTATCAGGATGTAGCAGTCCCTGGAGAAAGGCATCATGCTTCGTAAAACAGAGTGTAAGTGAAAAAGAAGACCCTCCAAAGTCACAGCAGCTGTAACAATGGGCTCAAACAGACTATTGTGAGAATACAGCCAGACGGGGAAACAGCAGCTTCCTTTTTGCTCTGGGTCCTAGCTTTGGAGATGACCTTCTGGGAAAAGGATGGGTGAGAATGAAGAGCTTAATGGAAGGGTCTTTAGCCTATTCTAAAATTTTCTTCCCTCAGGTCATTAGCAGAATGCCTTCCCCCACCCCTGCACTTAGTAACCTCTAAGCAACTTAAATCTCTAGCCCTTAGAAGAGATGATCATACTTGGAAAGGTGGAGTGTCAGTGAAAGAGAGGAAGTTCCCCAATGAGATTGATTGATGACATGATACTGTAGCAATAGGCTCAAGTATATCAGAGATGGAGCAAATAGCACAGTATAGGACAAGATTCAGGCCTGTTGCTCATACGGTCACTGTGAATCGTACTTGATGACATCTAACAACCACAATATACCTTTCTCCCCAACACTCTTGGTGCAAGCAGCCTGGAAATCAAAAGACAAATGACATTGGGGAAAATATGCTGTCAGGGACTTCTCCAGAGGCCTGAAGAACAACAATGTCAGTCTGGAGACTAAG